CCCCCCCCCCCATTCCCAGCCTCCACTACCTGAAGAGGACTACCCCCCAGAGGATTACCCAGGTGCGAAACAATCGGACCCCTACGAGGATTTCAATGCCACAGGACCTTCCTCTCTCTCAAAAGAGTACGCCTTGACCCACGTGAGCCGGACCCTGATCCCTCGGGCCAACTTGGACCGCACCACCCCACCTGGCTGGAATCTGACTGTGGAACCCAACGGGACATGGGTCTTCACCCACGAAAACTCTCCTGATCAGGTACACAAAAGTTCAAAGACCCAAGTGTCAAAAACTAGGAATGCCGACCATTTCTCACGTGCTCAATGAACCATTTCATTCTCAGCCCTTCAGATACTCTTCAACATTCAATGAGTTGTTCGATTGATTGCAGAAAGTGTTTTTAGCCTCCATTCTGAGGTTTTTGTAACAGTTGGATCCAGTACTACAGAGAATATGGCGTTCTTCCGCCTTTATTTTAGTAGCTGTGCCAGCAGCGTGGCTAAGAATAGAGCTGGAAAGTAAACGTCAGACGCTACGTTTCCACCTCTTGCACATTCGTCACGTATGGGCGTAACGCGAGTTTGAACGCGGTAATAATTTGTTTTAGAAAGGTATGAAAAGCTCGCTCAACCAGCTTGAACCCAGGAGGTGTAGGTGGAATATTTGTATCAGTCTTTAAAAAATAAAAAAATAAAAAATCCAGGAATACAGTAATTTGCAAATCAAATCATTCTGCATCAATGCAAACGCTGTTCTTCCACGTTACAAAGAAGAAAACGGAACAAACTGTTGGAGCTGAAAGATGTTTCTTCTGTTGAAGGATAAAAACGAGCAGCCCAGTTTTGTGGAGTGAAAATTAGAAGCTTAATAAAATGATCAGAAGGTCGCCGGTTCTACACCCCGAACAAAGATCTAAATGTGGCTGGGAAAGGTGAAGCGTCCACACCTGTCTCCACCCTCATTTGCTTCACTCTGGGCCCTTGAGCCTAGACAGCAGCTCTCTGCTCCACACAGGGGGCTGTGGTAGCTCGGTGCTCTGTGGTGGTGTCAGAAAGGACATCCGACATAAAAACAATCGCCGAGTCTTGTGAGTTAGTCTGCTGCGGCGACGCGGGGAGCAGCTGAAAGCAGAATAAGAAGAAAACGATGTGCGACTCGACTTATCTTGAGTAGACGTTAGCTTGACTCACGTAATGAGCAGCACAACAGAACGGTTTGTAAAAAGTCAACGAAAACCCAACGGAACGTCTTTAAAACTAATTGGAGGATACAGAAACGAGAACGCCAAAGTTGTAAAGTAGATTGGAGCAAGTTTCATTTATTTATTTATTTTCAATTGTTGGTTTTTGAAGACGTAACTGATGGTGAACTATCCTAAAAAATAGATTTACTGTATGTGTTTTTATTGTGTTACAGTGGATCAAGTCTATGGATGAGAAGGGTCAGTCCTATTACTACCTGAGAGATGGCACCAGTTCCCAGTGGAGCCTGCCTGAGGTTTCAATCCCTCATTCTTTAACAGACTTTGATCAAATATTTTTACCTGTTGCATATGTGCTTTTCTTTTTTTTTTCACCCACGTTTCAGTTTTCTGTTAAATGAAATCTAAAAGAAACAAATCTGAGTCAGCTTTCAACACAAAAATTACTATTTTGACCATCTAGGCTCCTGTAGGGCCGAGTCATTCTGGGTTGGAGAATGATGATGAAGCGGAAAATGTGCCCGTCATCAAAAGCTGGAGAGACTCGAAGGGATCTGCCCAGTTCTTTGCCCAGGATGATGGGGTACATCCACACACACTAACGTGCGCACACTCACACAGATAAGCTGTGTCAAACATCCAGGGTGTGTCAGCCAGCCTAAATATAAAGCACAAGTCTGTGTTTATCAGCCAACACTGAAAGGTTTAACCCTTATTTGGCAAGGCAAATCAGCTGCATTACTCTCCCATTGACAAAGACAGCGATGCAGAGGGAGAGGCAACCTTTGCACAAACACTGGAGATCCTGGAGACAAATAAGGGCTGGTGCTTTTCCTTTCTTAAGGGTACAGCAAGGTTGGTTGTGGCCTGAGGAAATTTTTTTTTTTAACTAAAACTAAAGGGTTGAACCAAAAAAAGAGAGGGTGTTAAGTAGTTATGAGTGGTCAGTATCTTACCTGCAGGAGATGGTATTTAGGGGAGATGCATGTTATTTAAAAGTCAAGCTAATTGCTACTCTAAACGTGGCCCATTCAAGAGATTTCCACCATTTCAGCAAACACAATCTCAATGTTGTCCAGCAGATTGCGAATGGCTTCTTTAGATAATTTAGATAATAAAAAGCATTAACAGATTTACTATTCTCTCATCCATACAACATCCGTTATCCAACATTATAACCACACACATACAACTGTTCAGAGATGTGTTTTTAGAGGTTATTTTGTCTGTTGATGATCTTTGCATCTTAAAATCTCCTTATGCTGGTTTTAATTTTCATTTCAGAGGTTCGGCCCGACTTACACGAGCAACACATCGGACAACGGCAGCAACAACTCCAGTACAGGAAACTCTCCAGAGACGCAGCATTTTGTAAGTGAATCTCGTGTCCTTCTAGTCCAGGTAGTAATTGTGCTAATTCAAATCACCCGTTCAAGCACAGTGACCTACCTTGGCATCTGAACGGCGTTTTGTGTCTTTCTCTTAAGGCTGTTGGATTTAGACCCTGGAGGAATCCATATTATCTGACCTCAAGGTGGCTGCGCTATAATGTGGGTTGTTAGTTTGAGCACTCACCTGAGCTTGATCCATAGATAGATCTATGACAAGCAAAATGTGTGACTTTAGCTCATTTAACTAGTATTTGTTTTACACAATGTCCCGCTCCAATCATTTGAATCACTCAGTCTCTCTTAAGTGACGTCATGCTAGAATGAGAAAACTGTCCTTATGCTGTTTTTGTCCCCTGCATGTGCATCTTTGCAGCTAGAAAACAGTTATGTTGTACAAATCCAGCCTTAATTTCATGTCAGAATTGCTTGGATGCAAATAAAGTATCATAAAGACCTGATTAAAAAAACAAATTTGGTGTTATTCTAAGTTTTTCCTGCTGTGAATAAGTTCCATAAAAGTGCTATTGAACAAGTTTTCTCTTGAGCCAAAGCCTGGAAGTATTATGGAGCTTCTTTGTGGTTCAAAATATGCTAACTCATAAAACCACTGAAATAACGAAGCTCTGCAATGACCACTGATGGCAATAGGTAGGTGGCGGCCATGTTGCTGAGTGCTACCACGCTACACATCAAAGCCCCGCATTAATGCTCTTGTCATGTACGCGCTGTGTCATAATTCTAAAAACCCATGGAAATAGATTTATTTAACTTGAATAAAAGTATATTATGCGTATAGTGAAAACAGGTCAAGCGTATGTTTTAATAAACCTCTCATCAAGCCCCGTTAAGCGTTAGCAGTGTCACGTAGCACTTACCAAGATGGCAGCATTTATTTTTTTTATTTTTTTGCCTCGTTAGCATCAACTGATCTGTGGTTGGCTATTCCAGGTTATTTCCTTTTCAATGACTAAAATCTATGAGGTATAACTTGAACAAATTAAGTTTGACTTATAAAACAAAAAGAAAATAATTGGCAGGATGAGTTAAGCTAATTTATAGTTTTCAGATGATGCACTATTTTTACTTCAGCCAGTTCAGGAGATGCATTCTTTTTTGTTTTTCAGTCATTCTTTTCTTCATATGTGAAGCTGTTTATACACTCAGTCATCCAGACATGGTGATGCTTGTTTTTGTTTGCAAATGTCAGATGCTGATTTTCGTGGTCACTATGCAGGAAAAGTTTGCATCTGCTCTTTGGTGCACAGTCAAACTGTGCACCAAACAGCAGAGTGTTTCAGAAGGTTTTTGTTTTGACTTGTCTTAAACCCTGACTGAAGTTCGCAGAAACATTTCGTAAACTTCAGTGTGAACTCTTCCGTTCCTCCTGAACGCCTTTTTATTATTACAAACAGGAATTAAACACCTGAAAACACACTTGATTTCTACTTATGGCCTTCTCCTCTGTTGGTTTCTGTTTTTTCATATATATATATATATATATATATATATATATATCTCAAACAGACATCACACGTCCTGTCAAAATTAATCAAATGATAATAATTAAATAAACCTTTATTTTACAGTTGTTGCCAGAAGTTTACATACAAGTGCAATGGGCATGAATCCTATATTAATTATATTAATTTAGGGCTTTTAAATGATTTATTTGAACTTTTGTTTTTTTTCAGAATGGAGTAATGACAACTAAGAAATTTAATAATTTTTAAAAGCAAGAATTTGACGCGCAAGTTTGAATTTGTCGTGGGTTTTCTCAAACATCCAAACAGGATGAAGTATAAACATGGAACACCATCTAATACTTGGTTATGCGTCTTTAAGTATAAAGTATATATATAGTTCATCCATCAATTATTTATTTATTTATTTAGAATTTAAGGACCATTCAAACCCGTTTATCTCACATGCTTTTAGTTCTAGTTGATCAGAACGTCTTGATTTAAAAAAACAAATTGATTTTACCAATGAGCAAGTTCAGTTAAATAATTCAATTATTTTGTTTTATGGGGGTTTAAGTGTATTTTGGTTCACTTGCTGATAGGTCTGTCACAATCAACAATAAATCAATTAATCGCATGATAAATGAAAACGATCAACCTCATTTTAATTGATCTACTTCATCGTTTCTTCGTGTCTCTCTCTTTCTACTGAAGACACTGGACGACAAAAGACTCAACTCCGGTGCTCTTCACTGACCCCTCCCTTTCTCTTTTCTCTTTAAAATCTGTTTTAACCGTCCAATATCAAATTTTTGGATCGTTAAAAGCGGCTAAGCTGAGAAGCTAAGCTACGAACTAAGAGGCCGACCTCGGGGAAAAAACCTCCGTCTTGTCGAAGCTCCAAAATTCACGGTTGAAACCCGTGCCTTCGTGTAAAAAGTTATTTTTCTCTGCAAAAAGAAGCTGAGAACTTGTTTACTGATTTTTTTTATTAAAAGCTTTGTGTGAAAAATGCTCAGCTAAAGAGCTCAAACCACACCGAGCGTCCGCCATTTAGAGAACCGAAAAAAGTGAGACAGCCCATGTCACGTCAAGGGGCCTCCCTCCCATTTTTCTTAACGAGACACGCTGCTCGCTCCCTCACTGTCCATCCTTCGGTTCAAACGGTCTTATACTGCCATCCAGTGGTTAAAAAAAAGGTACTACACTCAAAACAAATTAAACATTTCTTCTTAAATTTGACAATTTAAAATTTTGAAAATTTCAAACAATATTATCGTTTATCGCAATATTTTCTGAGGAAAATCGCCCAGCAAAATTTGTTATCGTGACAGGCCTAGTTGCAGGGCTTTCACTTTTGTACAGCATTTTGGTCAATGTGCTATAATAGACTTTTGATTGATGATTTAACAAACTTCTGGTCTAACTCTCGCTTATATTTGATTGTTTTTTAGGCTTTATTAAACCTTAAATGTTGAATAGTTTTGATCGGGTCTTTGGAGTGGCCATTTCAGCAGCTTAAAGTTTCAGTTCATTTACCTGTTTAATGTCGGCTTGCTTTATCCATTTGGACGCCAGTTTTGTTTGTGATTATTGTCTTGTTGGAAACCGTGTCCAGGAATGTGTTTAGCTGTTGATTTGAAGTGAAGTTAACGAAGTTTGGAGCTGGTCCTGCTTCTTCATCGACATGCATTCTAAAACTAGACCAAGTGTCCTCGCCAGCAGGACAAGGTTTGCGAGCGTTGAGTTTTTGGAACCGGAGTCTGTGTAGTAAAGGATGTGTGGCTGTAAGCCCCGCCTTCAATCATGATGTCACACGAGCTTTGTTTTAAACATGAAATGATCAGTTACAGCTGAACGTGTTAGAAAAATCAAAATCTAAACGTACAGCAGGAAACCAGCAAGAGTCAACACCTTAAAAAAATTAATCGGATTAAAACTTCAACTCCCAATGATGTCCAGTCTTATGATGCATGTCAACAGTCCATCCACCATCACCACAGCATGATGCTACCTCCCCCGTGTTTGTTGCTCCGATTACAGAAACTGATTTTATTCATGTGAGCAGAGTTGTTTCACTTTACGCATTTTATTTGTTAAATAAAACATTTTTTTTCTGGGTTCCAACTCTTAGGTGCCGAGCTTGGAGAAAGCTGGGATTCTCAACAAAACGAAAGTGTGTGAGAAAGGAAAGAAAGTGAAGTAAGTCCCGGCGTTTATTTAGCTGAAGATTTAACTCGCAGTTTAGGCGCTTTTAGAGTCGCCTTCCTTCCAAAGTTTGTCTTGATTGTTCCTGTTTGTTATTCATTTTTAGGAAAAACTGGAGTTCAACGTGGACGGTTCTTCGCGGAGGAGTGCTGACATTTCACAAAGACCCTAAGTCTTCAGGAGGCACCGTGGTACGACACATACTTAGTGAATAAAGTGCTCTCACGCTTGAAGGCAAGAAGCTAAACGTTTAGCGTTCTGCGCGATCTAATCCCCTTTTCTGTTTTTAATTATTTACTTTTGAGATCTGTACATGCGGTCCACACCTTTTTGTATTATTTTCCTCATCTTAAAAAAAAGGCATGGAACCCTAAACTGCAGCACGGCATCCCATCGCCCGTCGTGTCACGTTTGTGAGCGGTGACATCTGCAGACGAGCCCTCGGGCCACGAGCTGGCGGGGACGGCTTTCCGCAGCTTTTGTTTCTCGTCCCTTGGAATGCGGCGCAGTCGGTTTCATAAACAGCTGGATTTCTCACGTTTTTTTTTTTTTCTTCTTCCCCCTGCTGTGTAGAACAAGACCAATCAGATCGTTCCAGAGATCTCGGTGGAGCTGAAAGGAGCGACGATTAACAAGGCCGCAAAGGACAAATCCAGTAAAAAGAACGTCTTAGAGGTGTGTCCGTGTCGACATCATCTAAAGTGTGGTGATGTGTCTCGATCGTACGACTCTGCCCGTGTTTTAGCATTCAGAACATATTTTCATACTTTCACCGCTTCTCATGAAACGGCTCTCCTCAAGATGAAATTAAACGTCTCTTTTTTCTCGTCACGTTCTTCTTTAGCTCAAAGGGAAGAATGGCCTGGAGTTCCTCTTACAGAACGACACAGAGAGCATCATCGTTGACTGGCACAAAGTCTTAATGGACACTATTCAGCAGCTCGTAAGTCTCCGTGGGGGGGAAGTAAAAAATAAACAAAAAGGGATTCGTGGAATAGTTTTGAATTTGCAAATTTAGCTACTTGCTGTTTCCTGCATTTAAACACTGATGTGTCTATTCTAACCTGAAATAAATGGATTACTGTCACGACTACTGATTAACAGATAAATCCTGAAAAACAAAATATACTTCGTTCTCTGTCACCACCGAACACAACCGAGCTTCTTGAATTAGTTTCCAGACTGCAAGTAAATTGCATTTTTTAACTATTCTGAGCCACATCTTGCATTTGTCGTAAACATTTGTTATAGAAATATTTATTTTGTCTTCAAAACATTGAAACTGGCTGTAGTTCACCTGTTTGATGAATAAAAAGTGCCAATATATAAAGCAGCCAATAAGGGTTGAATTATAGAAAATTAAAGCTTTAACGTGTTAAATAAAGTGACATCTAGTGGTAGAAATTACAAATTGCACCTCATTAACTTTTTCCCCTCACACCTCCTGTGAAAATAACAGATGGTTCTTGATTTGTCCCATCTGGGCCACAGTAGTAATAAGTCAGCTACCGTAATAAGTAATAAGTATAGTAATAGTAATACTTAACTAGAAAAATTGCATTTCCTGCAAAAATGCAGTGTGAATATTTTTTGCAGAAGAACTCAACTGAAAAACAGCTTAAATGTAGCCGAAATGGAAGAACAAGCCTAAATTAGCAGAAGAGAGCAGAAATAAGTTATTTGCTGAATTAAATTTAAATAAGCAGAAATGAGCATAAAAATGAGGAAATTAGCTAAAAAAAAAAAATGCTGAAATTATCCAAATACAGCTGAAAAGTAGCTGAAAAATCAGAACGATGCTTAAGCTACCAGAAGGAAGTGGAAAAAGTTGCAGTGAGCTAAAAAAAAAAAAGTGTAATTAGCTGGAAAAGCTAAATTTAGCATAAAACGGCTAAATAGAAGCTGAAATAGGAGAAAAAACGGAAACTAGCAGAATAAGCTAAAAGAAACATAAGCTTAAATTAGCAGAACAGACCACAAAAACTTGTATTTATCAGAAAACAGTTGAAATTAGCAAATAATGCTAAAAGTCAAGTTGAAAATGTAGAACAAGCTTAAATTAGCCGAAGAAAGCAGAAAAAAAAAACATGTTTGCCCAGGTAGGCTGAAAGAAGCAGAAATGAGCACAAAAAAGTGGAAATTATCTGAAAAAAATCTTAAATTGGCAACAAACAGCTGAACAGTAGCTAAAAAAGTTGAAAGAAGCTTAAATTGCCAGAAGGAAGTGGAGAGAGCACATTTTAGGCTGAAAAAGTTGAAACGAGTGCAAAAAATGTGGAATTAGCTGAAATAGCTAAAATCAACACAAAACAGCTAAACAGTAGCTGAAATAGCAGAAAATCCTGAAACTTGCAGAAATAAGCTGAAAGGAGCATAACAAGCTGAAATTAGCAGAAAAAAGTTAGAAGAAGCACAAAAATGTTGTAGTTATCAAAATAATCTGAAAGGCGTGAAAAGCGGCTGAAATAACAGCTGAAAGTAGCTGGAAAAAAGTTTAAATTTGCACAAGCTGAAAGAAGCAGAACAAAATGTGAAAGGAGCAGTAAAAGGTTGTAAAATGAGTTCGATTCATTTTTTATGAGGAAAAAAGTGTCAAAAAAGGCTAAATATTTCAAAAAGCTAAAGTTTCACCAATAGCAAAAGTCCAAGCACCCTTCTCCTGAATGAGCTGAACTTTTTGATTTATGATTTTTTTTTTTGAATAAAACAAAAATTATGGAACGAGAAAGATGCTGAAAAACATGCAGAAGAAAAATGGATCACAATAGAGTGAATGCTTCGTAAACAGTCACACAATGCGAGTTCATCATGACTGCGGGATCAATGAAGTTCTATCTTATCTTATATTATGACAAAAAAGATGAAAAACTACAACAAAAAAAAAAGATTCATTTTGTGTTGATGTTTCATTCATCAGGAGTACCAGGACCATCATTCTGAAGACGAGGACGGAAACGTGTACGAAAAGATCAACAACGCCGAACGAGACGACAAGGCAGAGAAGCGAAAATGTAAGTCGCCTTAAATTGTTCCCATGCTGGAAAACGAGAGCAGCACTCGTTTAACGGAGTCGTTCTGACCCGCTTCGGTTCATGAGGCTCGCCGAGAGTCGTCTTAAACAGCTGTTCTGCTTTTCTTCAGCCTTCAAGCCCACCGTAACGCCGTCGCCTAGCAACGCAGGGGAAACCGACCAGAAGAAGGTCCGAACCAAGCTGATGAAGCTCCTCTTGAAGCGCCCCACGCTGCAGTCCGTCAAAGATAAAGGGTACATCCGAGGTGAGCTCAACCAAGAGGACATCTGAGCTGGGCGGGCAGCGATGTTTTGAATAGCTCGAGGCTGAGGGAATGCATGTCGCCCGCCGCTGTCGTTCAGGCCAGAGCTTTAGACTCGAACTGTTTTGGTCAAATCTTGAAAATGACATAATGCTCCTCTCACGCTCAGTATGCATTGTCAGTGACTCTCAGCTACTACCACTCTGTATTTTAGCTCAGTGTTGGTAAAGTCATTCTCATGCGGAGGAGAAGGCTCTTTTGCCTAGTTCAGTCCTCACTGAGGGGACACTGCAGGTAATGATGTCCTGGGAGCGCACGCTGTAGCTGCACTCACGCAGAGACATGTAGGAGGAGATGTATGAAGGCAACAGACCAAGAAGTGATTTAAAGATGAAAATGTACCAGTGAGAGAGCCTGCGTGAAGTTAATGATGACCAGTTAACCAGTGAATACTGGGTGCAGTGATGGGTACGATAATCACAGCCAGTTATGAATCTTAGTGCACCGTGATAGACAGCATCCAACATCTGCAGGGTTCTTGTAGGAGCGTTCATGTAAATAATATCACCCGTAGTCAATGGAGGGAAGGAAAGTCACAGACACAAGGCGTTTTCTAGCATTCAGGGTTAGACGGGATCTGTTTCTGAAAAGGAAACCCAGTTTAACTTTCAGTTTCCTCACTAGGTTTTCCACGTGAAGCTTAAAAGAGAGATGCGAGTCGACCAACATACCCAAATATTTGTAGGAGTTGGCAAACTCATCAGGGACACCATTTGAGGATAAAATCAGAGGAAGAACTGCTGGGACCGACTTCCTGTTTGGGGGAAAAAAAAAGCATCCCTTTTGGTTTTGTCAGTGTTTAGGACAAGTTTGAGACGGAACAAGTCTGACTGGATGATGTCGAAAACAGATTGCAAAAGCTGGAAAACCTTAGCAACTGTTTTAGCTCGACAATAAACAACAGTGTCATCAGCGTAGAAATGTATGGCTGCATCAGGGATACGCTGACCTGCATTACTTATGTAGATTGTAAAGAGGGTGTGTCCTAAGACTGAGCCTTGAGGTACACCATTGTTAACCGTTAAATAACTGGAAGAAGTACCATTATGTTGAACACATTGTCTCTGATCTGAGAGATGGTTGCTGAACGAATCAAGGCTGTGATCTGAGAAACCAATTTCTGAGAGCTTATGACACAAGATGTTCTGATCCACAGTGTCAAAAGCTCCAGACAGGTCTAAGAAAAGTGCATTATCATCTGAACACTATTTTTATTTAAATCAAACTGCTTCCATCCAGATACTATTTATTTAAAAATGAAGTTTCTGTAGATTTGGCTCTTTTTTTTTCTTTTACAAGTTAGACAAATTAACAAAACAGTTATAGCATTTAAAGTTTTGCGGTCTGGCAAAGAATGAAATTAAAATTGACGCGGTAAAAAAAAAAAATAACGTGTGAAATGGCAGGATGTGATAAAACTTGTGCCACGCTTGTTATTTTTTCAGGGTTTCACAGTCTGTCTGTTAAAAGGGGTTATTTAAATATGTATTTTGTCACAAGTAGCTGTGAATGATGACGATTATCTTGTGCAGAAACCGTGTTTGGTTGTCATCTGGCCCACCTGTGTGCTCAGGAGAACACCACAGTTCCCAGTTTTGTGGATAAATGTATTAAAGCAGTGGAAAAGAGAGGTGAGCGACTCCCGTGAAAGCTAAACGATGACCTTTTTACTTTCTCTGTGCGCCTCAAAGCCGCAGATTTAAGTGAATTAATGTTTGTTTACAGGTTTAGACATTGATGGGCTCTACAGAGTCAGTGGGAACCTCGCTGTCATACAGAAACTTCGCTTCAAGGCCGATCATGGTAAAAGAAACTACGCTTTCGGCGACGGCGCCCCCTGCTGTGTTTTGACATCTGTTTCGTGTCCAAACAGAGGAGCTGGACCTCGAGGACGGTCAGTGGGAGGACGTCCACGTCATCACCGGAGCGCTCAAGCTGTTTTTCCGGGAGCTTCCTGACCCGCTTTTCCCTTTCAGCTACTTTAACGACTTTGTCACGGCCATCAGTGAGCAGACTTTTGCTTCCTTAAGTCCTGAATTTAAGCTCATGTTTACTGGGCTTTGATGTTTTTGTTTTGCTGTTTCTCCAGGACATGCTGATTACAAAACAAAACTGTCCCACATCCGTGACCTGGTCAAGTCACTTCCTCCTGCGAACCACGACACTATGAAGCTGCTTTTTGGACATTTGCACAGGTTTGAGCTCCTTCTTCATGCTGTCGCCATCACTTTGTTCAAACTTAAACAATTAGACCTGAATTAAAGCGGTTTTAGTCTCTTCAAAGACACACCAGCATCCCATTAACTATACATTTAACGAAATATGACTTGCATACTACGAAACAAGCTCGGCTTTTCAATAAAATGCAGTAATCCTGTCACGTTACACCAAAGTGAATTCACTTGTTAAAATCTCCTCAGATTAGAAGCTAAATGTCTTCAGGAATTACAAAGACGTCCATTGGCCATCAGTTCAACTCGAGGTTAATCTGTTTTTGATGTTGTTTTCACGGTTTATTTATTTTATCACCAAACCGAGGGCTTTTTGGGTGCCACGTAGCAGCGAATAAAGAGCGATCCATGTTTCTTCCGTACGTTTTTCGGCATCTTTCTCGTTCCACAGTTTTTGTGCCATTTCAACAAATCGTAAATCAAAACGTTCAGCTCTTTCAGGAGAAGGGTGCTATGACTTTTGGTATTTGTGCAACTTTAGCTTTTTGAAATATTTAGCCTTTTCTGACACTTTTTTTCCTCAAAGAGAATGAATTGAGCTCATTTTACATCCTTCAAATCTTTAGATCTCTTTACTTTACTGCTCCGTTCACATTTTGTTCAGCTTCTTTCAGCTTCCTTGTGCAAATTCAAACTTTTTTTTTCCAGCTGCTTTCAATTAATTTCAGCTGTTTTTTGCTCCTTTCAGGATCTTTCTGCTAAGTACAACATTTTTGTGCTTCTTTTAACTTTTTTCTGCTAATTTCAGCTTGTTATGCACCTTTCAGCTTACTTCTGGAAGTTTCAGCTTTTTCTGCTATTTCAGCTACTATTAGCTGTTTTATGCTCATTTTAGCTTTTTCAGTTAATTCCACATTTTTTGCACTCATTTCAACTTTTTTCAACCTAATACAGCAAAAATGCGCTCTCTCCACTTCCTTCTGATAATTTAAGCTTCTTTCTGCAATTTTAGCTACTTTTCAGCTGTTTTTATGCTAATTTCAGCTTTTTTTTTTCCATGTAATTTCCACTTTTTTGTGCTCATTTCTTCTTCTTTCAGACTATTTGGGCAAACGTTTCTTCTGATAATTTAAGCTTCTTCTACATTTTCGGCTAGATTTTTTTTTTTAGCAAATTAGATCATTTCAACTGTTTTCAGATAACTTCAAGTTTTTCATGGTAATTTCTGCTTCTTTCAGCCTAATTAAATTACTTCTGCTCATATCAGCTTGTTATGCTCCTTTCAACTTATTTCTGCTAGTTTCAGTTTTTTCAGCTACTATTTAGCTGTTTTTATGCTTATATTAACTTTTTCAGCTAATTCCACATTTTTTCATTTCAACTTTTTTGTTCTTCCTGCTTTCTCCTGCTGATTTACACTTGTTCTACATTTTCAGCTACGTTTCAGCATTTTTTTAAAACTAATTTCAGCTGTTTTTCAGCAAGTTCTTCTGCAATAAACATTCACACTGCATTTTCTTCTCTAGTTGAAGTTTATAAGCATGTTTATCTGGTCATTAATGTTTAGTTACATGTGAAATCCAGTTAACAATCAGCTGTTTAATACAGTGGTAACATGATCACGTCTGGCTTATTTTCACTATAGTTGTTACAAAAAATAAAACTAGAGGTCATGAATTTATGAAATTATGTTTATCCTTTAGCCCATGTATCATCAGGTTTTGTATATTTAAAGTGGCAACATATGGCGTCACAAACGTATTTTTGTCGTTTGAGAACTAAAACATTTGTGAACCACAAATTTTAAATATTAAACTATGAAAGATTGACCTTAAATTAATGTTATTTTAAGGGTTAAAGGTAAATAATGTAAGAAATTAAAACTTAACAGTTTCTTTCCCAGTGCTGATGATCACTGTTTCCCCAAATGAAAAACTCTGTGAGCAGCTTGTTGTGGTCGCCTACAAAAACAGCCGAAGCGAATGAAAAAAGGTCAACGGTGGCGACGTCCAGACGTTTGATGTTGAGATGGGGAAAAATAAACAATGAAACTGGGAAAAATGAGTTTTGGTCAACCACATGACTCAGGCTTCTACGTTGTTTTTGGTGGATTTAGCAGACAGTTTTGTTTACAATGAGTTCAGACCCTCATTGTACAATTGCATGTAAATATATGTGGACGGCTGCTAGAGTAAACTTGTTCAAACAACATATTTTGTTTGAGATAGTAAAGAATAAAATCATGTTAATTCAGAATTAAGGTAACATATTTTTTACATTAATAATTTGAGTGTATTTAAAATCAGTTGAGAGCTTTTAGATTGATTACAGTATCAGGCATCAACGTGATCAAAGTCCAGCATATAAAAAAATGTTTGAACAAAAAAAAAAAAAAAAAAATATATATATATATATATATATAGGTTATATTTTCTGAACTGTTGTGGCATTTAAATAAATATAATGTTAATTTTTTTTGTTTTTGTTTTGTGCAAAATGTAATTTCTTTTTTGACTTTTTTTTTGTGTTTATTTCAAGAATAATACTTTTAATTTACAGCCTTTCAAGATATCCAAGGTCACCCTGCAATACATGATTAAAACAGAATAAAATAAAAATAGAATAATTCAATTGAAGCATACATTCATGAATATCATTAAATAAAATAAAGCAGTTTTGTAGCTCACAGAGAAAAACATTGAACTATGATGGACAGATTAAAAATGTTTTTTTTTCTTTCCGTGAATTTACAGATTTTAAAATGATAAAATGCAAATAATTTAAACTTTCAGCTCAACTTAATACAGTTTTTGTGCTCAATAAATAAAAATACTGAGATACGCACTAAAACTCTGTTTGTCTGACAGGGTCATTGAATTCGGTGAGGACAATCGTATGACCGTACAGAACGTGGCGATCGTATTCGGCCCGACGCTGCTTCGACCAGAGACGGAGTTCGCCAACATCACCATGCACATGGTCTTCCAGAACCAGATTGTGGAGTTCATACTGAAGGAAAATGATAATATCTTCCACTTCAGCTAAATCATAAATGTGCGCTTGAGGCATTATTTTTTAAAAAATACTTTCAGGCTTTGCAGTTTGCATTCAGCTTTGGTGCCACATCTAAAACTAAAACATGTTTCCTAAAACTAATAAAAGGTGACACCAGACATGATGAGGGGTGTTTTTAGTCATCTTTTTCAGTATTGCAGGATTGAACTTTGATGCACTCAGGTGAAGAGGGGCGTGTTGTGAATTTCTGTGTCAAAAAACTTACGAGCTTGAGTTATTTGTTGTTGTTTTTGGTAAAAGAAGCACTGTATAAAACTGTTTTCTCCCCGTGAGACTCCTAAAGTCTCACAAGCCACTGTAGTCTGTACTGTTTAGCAATTTTGTTTTAGTTTCTCTAAATTTCAGTGTCTGTATAACCTGGGTTAAACCTGGATGGATGCATTGTCTTTAAAAAGATGATTGTTTTTATTTGAAAACTTAAAAAATGTTTATATTAATTGTTTTGGATTTGATGTTACACTTGAGGCAATAACAGATATTTTAATATTTTATAATTGTTTTATTCAGTCACACATTTACACAAAAAAAATTGTAATATAGAAATGTGTTAAATATGAAAATTATTGCCAACATTTACTGTGTAGAAAGAGATTTAGATAATTTATGTAGGCTTAGATTATTTTTCATTGATTTGTACTTAAGAGACTGTAAAATAACACACTTTAAAGAGGAAATCCTGATTTTATTTTGATAGTTTCAAGGGACTTCAGTCAATGAAGAAGAAAATTGAATGTTAGCATACATGTATAACTTGTAAATAGCAATAAATGGCATATTTATGCTGAAAGTTACTGGAAATGAAAAAAAATTGCTTTTTTCAGTAATAAAATAACTTTTGGCAAATGAAAGGTGATTTGTTCATTTCTAATAAAGATGTATTTTAAAATCTAACAGATGTGCATTAAAGAGTGAGAAATTCCTATGATTACCAGTATTCATAAAGTGAGTGGCCTTTTTCAAATGCACAGAAAAGCAAGTAAAACAAAAGCAGACCATTCAATAAAATTACTTAATTGTAGGAAAAAGTACATTTTGTAACCGTTTAGTATTTGCAATAATTTAATAGTACTAAAACTTATTAAAGGCTTAGGCTAGTTAATACTGTACTATGTACGCAAATGTTTTTTTAAAATTATATTATTATGATTCCGTCTGGTCCGTGTTTTTGGCCGGAACTATTTAGGTCGACGGAACTGCTTCCGGAAGCTGTCAGCTGAACACCGCATCAACTGCAATGAGTTTTGAGTGGCCCTGGCAATACAATTTCCCACCGTTTTTTACGTGAGTTTGATTATTAGGAGGCATATTATAAAAACGTCGTTAAAACTTGTTTATTAACCTGAATTATTTGGATGGAATTGAACCGAGGCGTGCTAGTTTTCGAGCTAGCGTCATGATGACAAGCTAGGCTAAACGGCTGATTGCTAAGGAAGTACCCGGTAATTTAGGTTTCCAAAAGTTTATCAGCAGCTCTTTTAGTCCCGATTCAGTGGTTCATTTGGACTTTTTTCTCAAGTGAACATTTGATTACATATAAATATTACTGTTTTTATTAGTTTGTGTTGTGAGGAGACGATATTTAATACGATACTTGTTAACATTACACTTCTCTGTTACGTTTTTCTGCTCGTTAATTCATCAGGGTAACAGTTTTGATACAAAAACAGAGACTTAAGAAGTTAAAGTCCTATTAAAGCAAACCTGGAAACGGTACGAAAACAAAAAAAGATGCATTTAGTAACTGATTAGTGTTGTAGAATACTCTTAAGTAATCCCACTTTTCTTTAACATTTCCTTTCAAAACGTTTTCAAACCCTCAATTTGTCTTAAATATTTTCTAGCCATGCTTTCTGTGTGTCTTTTCTGACCATTTTCAAAGTAAAGCTTCCGTTTTCCTTTTGTGTTACCCTTTAAATAAAGAAGTTCAAGTGTCTGGGAGTCTCGATGACAAGTGGAGGGGGATACTGATGTAACAAGGCTGTTACTCTAGTTTTCTGTGATGAAGAAGGAGCTGATCCAAAGGACAAAGCTCTTGATGTACAGGTCCATCTTTGTTCCAACCCTCACCTGTGATCAAGTGAAAGAATTATCTCCTGGATAAAATTGGCAGGAATGAGCTTCATGCAAAGGGTTACTGGGCTCAGCCTCAGAGAAAGAATGAGAAGCTCAAAGAAGTGCTGCTGCTCCTCTGCATCTAATAAATATGTAAAATGTAGGAGTCGGCTGAGGTGGCCTGGGTTTTTGTGATGCACCTCCAACTGTAGAATTTTCTGGTAGATCTAGAAATCTCTGGCGGACTTGTCCTCTCTGGCCTGGGTCTGCCACGAGATCCAGGAGGAGCTGGGGAATGCTCCTACATAGAGGGGTAGCTTGGTCTCCGTATGGGCCTATTACATCTATGACCCAACCACAGATAAGTGGAAGAAGATGGATAAATGAGCTACTTTCCTCTGATCCGTGAATCATTCGGTCATGAAAAATCTCCTAAACCCATGGGAAGAACAAGTTTTGTGTTTTAACAGGTGATTTTCTTCTTTTAAAACTTTAGTCTTTTTGTTATTGAGAGTGTTACTTTATTATATGGTTGGCTGCCACATCCCCTCCCTGAAGGACCTACACATCTCAGCAGGGCTTATGCACAATATACTGAACACCTCCCACCCTGGATCCCACACGTTTGACCTGCTGCCCTTTGGGAAGCACTACAGGTCTGATAAAACCAGAACAAACAGATTCGGAAATAGCTTTTTATCCTCTTAGGCCTAGAACCGTCAGATCCTGTGCAATATAACCCTAATGGATCAGCAATAAACAAAATATTAGAAACTGCACTTTGGTTTTTCTTCAGTAATTTATTTTATGATGCCACATCCAAAAAGAAACTTCTGCAGTTTCACGGCACCGTTACGCTGACAATAAATTATTTTATTTCTGTTTCTAGGTTACAGCCCAATGTTGACACAAGACAGAAACAGCTGGCAGCGTGGTGTTCCCTGGTTCTGTCCTACTGCCGCCATCACAAGCTCTACACTCTGGATGTCATGGAGGCGCAAGAAAGCTCCGTGTTCAACAACAAGAAGATCGAACGTATTCTGGTTTTAAAACATCCAAGCCATAATTTTACTATTTAAACAGTTATTTATTGTAGCAAGTGTTAAGTTTACTTTGATTACTTTCCACCAACAGGGTATTAAGGTTTATCCACACTCCTAAGACTTTGGGATTTACAAGCTTTTAGGGCAGCGTCACCTCTTATCCCCCTCCTTTTATTGCAACTGCCAACAGCTGTCTGCCTTTATTACGTAGATTCTAGTCATTGCATTTCTAGCTCTTCCTTTTCATCTAAGCCAAACATACAAAATGTGCGTGTTTTGTTTGACCTTAATGCGATTCCAGGAAAACTGCAGGTGGAAGCAATTCAGGTTGTGTTTGAGGAATTGAGGAAAAAAGGTAAATCTTACTCAATCTTTGTTTTTTGCAATGCTGTGACAAAAATGCTAATTTTATTAAGTGTTCCTATAAGTTTCAACAGTAATAAATGTGTTTATGTCTGTTTATTTATTTTTATTTTTATTGACTACAGGCAACCTGGAATGGTTGGACAAAAACAAATCGCGGTGTTTAGTCATGTGGAGACGACCAGAGGAGTGGGGAAAGTTAATATACCAGTGGGTGAGTTTCAGAGATCCCTGAAGATCCATTGTTGTATGAATATAGTCAGAGTTGAAAATAAAGTTTTATTTGTTGCTTTAAGTTGTTGATTTTATTCTGGTCACATGTTAATCAGGATTCCTACACAGCCTTGTATAGTAAAAATTTTATTCCCAGATCTGGATGATTGTTTAAAAAGTAAACCCACGTTTGGGAAAACATTTATGTTTCCATACATTTAGCATTTTCTTAAAAATAAAAACTATCTAAAGCTGCTCAAACAAGCAGGGCATTTCTCATATTGCGTTGCAGATGTGAATTAGCTTTTGCTATAGTCTGGTACAGCACATCCAATGGTGACATTTATATTTGAGTTGTACATTGTCCCTTTTTAAATAAAGTTTGTTCATTCATATGCAAAAAATAAACATAGTCACCATTAAGGATGCACGATATTATCGGCATGGTATCTAGGCCTGTCGCGATAAACAATAAATCAATTAATCGCATGATGAATGACAATTATCAATTTCATTTTCATTTACCGGCTTTATCGTTTCTTCGTGTCTCTCTTTCTACTGAAGACACTGGATGACAAAAGGCTCAACTCCGGTGCTCTTCACTGACCCTTTTCTTTTTAAAATCTGTTTTAACCGTCCAAAATCACGTTTTAGGATTGTTAAGAGCAGCTACTACGAGCTAAGCTAACAGGCTGACCTCGGGGAAAAAACCTCCGTCTTGTCGACGCTCCAAAATTCACGGTTGAAACTCGTGCCTTCGTGTAAAAAGTTGTTTTTCTCTGCAAAAAAAAGCTGAGAACTTGTTTACTGATTTTTTTTATTAAAAGCTTTGTGTGAAAAGTGCTCAAATCACTGCGGGTCTGCCATGTCACCATGTCAGCCCATGTCATGTCAAGGGGCCTCCCTCCCATTTTTCTTAGAGACACACTGCTTAACTATCCATCCTTTGGTTCAAACAGTCTTATACTGCCATTGGGGGGTCAAAAAAGGTACTACACTCCAAACAAATTCTAAAATTTGACAATTAATTATTGTTCAATTTCAAACAATATTATCCAACAATTTTCAGTCAGGTCATCTGGACAGTTTATTTTTTGCTGAAACGTTTCACCTTCCATCCAGAAGGCTTCATGAGTCAAGGAAACGCACAACACAAAACTGATTCTTCCCCTAAACAGCTTACTCCAAAGTGGAACAAACCAGTTATGTTGGTGCTAAGATGGTGTCTTTGGCACGCCCCCTCCTCTTGTGCCGGCCCTCTTCCTCGTCGACAGTCATGTCAAACTGGTTCAAAACCAAAAAAGTCCACGCTCAATAATCCAGGTACTGAGCGTGGACTTTTTTGGCTTTGAAACAATATTATCGTTTATCACAATAGTTTCTGAGACAATTAATCGCCCAGCAAAATTTGATATCGTGACAGGCCTAATGGTATTGTATCGGTTATCGGCCAAATAACTTTTAACATATCGGATATCGGCCAAAAATCCAATGCATCCCCTAGTCAACATAGTGTCAGCTTTATTGTTTGTTTTTTTATTTACACCATGTAATCTCAACAAGGAAACTGAAAACAAAAACTTTAATAATTTAGCTGAAAAGCACACAAAGGTTCATGTACAAAAACTTTAATAAGTAAAAATTGTAACGTTAGTCGGTTTCAAATGTTGGGGTGATAAAAGTCTGTAAAAAAATTATATTTACATGAAACATTTTCTCAACGTTCAACATAAAACAGCCGAGTTGACGGATACAAACACGTCTCTCTGTGGTACTTAGTTGTTTAAGCTATATTCTAAAGCCATTAAAAATATATAATTGAGAGAACAAAAAGCTTTCTTACTTCCAATAAGCCTAAAAAAACTGAGATGATAATGATGTAAGTTATAATAAATTTACAGATGTTTTGTTGCCAAAAATACCTCAAGTTGACCGTTAGAGTCTGGTAAAGTCTGGATTTAAAGAATAGAAAATGTGTGAGAAGACATTTTTAATCGTCCTTCAACACAAAGTCGTCACAAGTTCACAACATTTAATACATTTAAAAGCTTTAAAATAACCGGGCTGAAGTCAGTTCATCTGTAAACAGATTACGTAAATGTGTAACAATAACACAAGGTTAGGTTTTTAAAATTATTTAAAATGTGCACTTATTGTTATTATTAATCTTTTTTCTATTTCTCACAGGAGGAGGTCAGTTTGTAGCAGGTTGTTGCTTTGTTACATTTACTGCACTTAGATTTCAGATGGAACAAAACAACAAGAATATAATATAATATAAAGGCCCGATCGATAGAAATGTTTCATCTGTTCTCAGACTAAATCTAATTTAAACTGGGCCTGACGTACTTTTATGACTTTAATTAGAAGGATGTGCTGCACGTTGCATTAAATGTCCTCCAAACTTGTCTATTAACTTGGCTCGCTTTAGGGAATTGCTCGTTCTTCAGTGCAATGTCCTCCATTTTAGAAACAACCGGGAGACTGTATCCTTTCTATCCTTTCTTTCTTGTATCTTGAGTTATCTGCACGCTTTGTCTTTTACTGACAAGGCTTTAAAAGTAAAGATATTTAAAGATTTGAAATCTTTAAAGGACAAAACTGCTTAGCTGATTTAAACTGTTTCTTTTTCTTGAACTCGTTGACCTCAAGACAGTTTAAAATAAAGTATATAACGATCACTGAGCACTTTAATTAAATTATTTAATTAATTTAGACATTTTCTTGCATGTTGGTTTGAATGTTTTAATGTTTCAGTCACCATAAGATTCCACCTAAAACACATTAATTTATGGAAACAAAGAGCTATAATAATTATTGTTACATCTACTCGCAATAAAAAAAAAATGGATCCTTTACTTATGGATTATTACTTTGATTTTTTTTCAATAGAATGCCAAGTTAAGGTAAACTGACATTTATTTTTACCTGGAGAAACAAGTTTCATAAAGTAAACATCAACAATAGCAGCCTTGATATAAAATAAACCATAAAGTATTTTCCTTTAAAAAATGTGCATGTACATGACCATCAGATAAAACACAACCTCATGTCTGTTTCTCTTCTAAAACACCCTTAAATACAATTAGTGACAGCAGCTCCTTCATTTTAGACCAGACTGAAGTTGATTTATTGTCAACGACGCAGCAAACTGCAATGACCCGTTCTCTTGTTCTGTTCAGACTTTAAGTACAAAAAGTCGTAGTTCTGGGAGCGAAGTGAAGACCCTCCAGTCAATTTAAGATTTATGTAGATGAGCTGAGAAAGGAGCGGACTCAGAGTTTTATCTATTACCATATTTTTTGAACTATAAGACGCATTTAAAATCCTTGAATTTTCTCAAAAATTGACAGTGAGCCTTATAATCCGGTGCACCTTATGTATGAATAGGCCTGTCACGATAACAAATTTTCCTGGGCGATTAATTGTCTCAGAAATTATTGCGATAAACAATATTATTGTTTGAAATTTGACAGTAATTAATAATGTCAAATTTCAGAAGAAATGTTAGTTAATTTTTGTGTGAAGTACCTTTTTTGACCACCGGATGGCAGTACAAGACCATTTGCACAGAAGGATGGTTGGTGAGGGAGCGAGCAGCGTGTCTCTTTAAGAAAAATGAGAGGGAGGCCCCTTGACGTGACATGGGCTGTCTCTCTTTCCTTTTTTTTTCGGTTCTCAAAATGGTGGACGCTCGGTTTGAGCTCTTTAGCATAGCATTTGTCACACAAAGCTTTTAATAAAAAATCAGTAAAGTTCTCAGCTTCTTTGTTCAGAGAAAAACAACTTTTTTCACAAAGGCACGGGTTTCAGCCGTGAATTTTGGAGCTTCGACAAGACGGAGGTTTTTTCCCCGAGGTCGGCCTGTTAGCTTAGCTCGTAGCTTAGCTGCTTTTAACGATTTTTGGATCGTTAAAATGGATTTTAAAGAAAAGAGAAAGGGAGGGATCGGTGAAGACAACATCAACAAGATAACATCTGATAAATGAAAATGAGGTTGATTATTTTCCTTTATCATGCGATTAATTGATTTATTGTTTATCGTGACAGGCATTTGTATGAAAACAGACCCGTTCATTGATATTGAGTCTTATAATCTGGTGCGTCTTATAGTCTGCAAAATCCGGTAGTACCCATCAATGATTCAACCTGCAGATGGACAAAGACGGCGTCTGGAGAAGTGTTCAGGTTTTTGGATTAAAGGAGGAGCTCCACGATAAACAGAGTCAAGTGAATGTAAGGCGGCACCGTAATCTAGAACGAACGTAAACGTAGCAGCAACAAGTCGCCTTTTTGCACTGAAAGAAAAGCAGGATCTTGTTCCAAAATAAAAAGTATTTTTTATTCTAGTCTTTTGTCTAGTTATTGATTACAAAGACTCTTCAAGAGTAAAACCAAATTGCTCGGTTCAATAGGAGTGCCACTAGAGAGCACAAGCCAGTGTATGTCTTGTGCCGGTCCCAAGCCCGGGCAAATGGTGAGGGTCGTGTCAGGAATGGCATCCGATGTAAAACACTTTCGCCAAAACCATAATGCGAGTTCATCAAAGCGAAACCATACCGGCTCGGGCGAGGCCCGGGTTAACAACGACCGCCACCGGTGCTGTTGACAAACAGGGCGCCGGCGGAAATTGTGCTACCGTTAGTCGAAGACCTCGAGGAGGGAAACGTGTCAGGAGACAGAGAGAAGAGGAAAGTGAAGATGTTAGAAATGCAGCTGCCAGGAAAAAGACAAAGAGGAGACATATGGGTGCAGTTAGAGAGGACATGGAGGTAGTTGGAGTGAGGACAGAGGAAGCAGAGGACAGAGTGAGGTGGAGGAGGATGACTCACTGTGGCGACCCCTGAAGAGGGAAAAGCCGGAAGAAGAAGAAGAAGAGTAGGAGTGCCTTGAAATATAAAAATCAGATGCCTTTAAGTTGAAGAACATCATCAGCTTTGTTTCTGTGTGCGTTTAAGCCATTTAAATTGCTCTGGACCAGTCCTGGTCCTCGAAGGTCCTGCATGTTTTACCTGTTTCCCTGCTCCAACACACCTGACTCAATGCTTGAATTACCTCTTCATGCTCTGTTTGTCTCCCATTGTTTCAAAGTGGGTGTGTCAAAGCCAAATATAACCCTGTAAAACCTGCAGGATAGTGGCTCTGAACAACATTCAAGGCTGATTGTAGAGGGTCGAGTGCTGCTTGGTGTTAAAGCATTAGCGTAAAAAAGAAACGCCGCGTGTGGTACGTTATCCAAACTGTTAATATACGTAATAAAAAGTAATGAACCCAAAACATGAAGATACTCTGGGCACAACCAACTTTTTTTTCACAGTAAATGCTCCTGGTTTGCATGTAAACAAACTCTGTTTGAAGATGACGCCCACACTGTGGCTCCCTGGGTTATGAAAGTGTACCGATATAAACCCAAAAAACAAATAGACTGCAAAAACAAAAATATAAAGCAAGAACACTGATGTCATGTGACCTATGCTGCAGAACAGCAGCTAATGAATGATTTAAATCAAATGGAAAGCTTTGAGCATGACGGGGCTCGTCATTCAGAGGAAATGGAGCGCATCTATAAAGGCTGAGGTGAAACATCACAACCACCGAGTCCTTGTACATCTTGTACCGAACACACACAGTGAAGTCGGGTACAGTAAATCTGAGTACACCAGTCCCTCGTTTGTTGCACGGGATCTGTACCCTGAATTCCCACACTCTTGCAATATTCTAAACAATGTTTCTAAACTCTAAATGTTCTAAAAGAGCACAGAATGTCGTGATTTCAGCTCTCTGCCAGCGCTCTCGGCCACGCCCACTTCTCCGCTGCAGAGCGAAGATCTGACATGCTGCAGGAGGAAGCTTCTCCTGCAGCTGTGGGCTGCACAAAGGTGCAGCAGGTGCTAAATAATTTAAAATAATTCATTTTAAATAAAAATTCCATGCTGATCATGCTGCTCAGCCATCAATCAGCCAACTGCGTGTCATGTCCAATCTTACTTTATGTCATATATATATTAAATATTTTTCATGTATATGCTGTGCGTAGAAATCATACAGGATTCTTCCAAAGCTTTTTTTTTTTCCAGAGTATTTTATTTAACTGTTATGTCGTAGTTTGTCTCTAATCTGACTGGAGCTACGAGCTTCAACATATTTTTATTTGTGGAGTTTTTATGTTTACAAACAAAAAATCTTGAGGATTCTTTTCTAATCAGCTCATCCCACCTTCCTTATTTTATTTTATTTTACTGAATAAGAGCTTAGGGAGTTTTAAGCAATTCAAAGCACATAAATGACGTAAAAGAAAGTCCGACTTTTCAGAAGAGTCTTTTGCTTTGGAAGTGTTTATTCACAACTTTTAAGATTAAACTGTTGGACTTGTAATACGTTTTAAATTTTATTTATTTGTTGTTCTTTAACTTCTCAGGTTTCCAGAAGCGGCATGGTCAACTCTGTGTTCACGCTTTATGAGATCTCCAACGGCGACGACACAGGAAGTGAAGGTACGACATCATTTAGTACTTTTTAAAATACATTTACTGCTGCCTCGGTTCTCAGTTAAATACCCTTAAAGATGAGCCAAAACATTAAGACCACACCTGGCTCTTGAGTTTGTCTAAATATGGATTTGTCCAAACTTTGAGGTTGTCTTCTGGTGTTTGTCGGAGTTGCCCGCTGACCGGAACGTTCTTCACAATATAAAATATGAACACCTACCGTTTTCTTGTCGTGACCTTGTGTGGTTAATTTTTTTATTTATTTGTTTCTCTCAGCTTTATTTTGTGTAGAAACTTGTAGAGACGTGCAACCCAAAGTGAATTAGGTGTAGAAAAAAAGCAGGTATGACTAATGGATTGACGTGTTTGATAGATGCTCAATGTCCACAAATACCGTATTTTCCGCCGTACACGTCGCACCGCCCTATAAGTCGCATCAGTCCAAATACATGTATGTCTAATAAAGTGGAAAAATCTATAAATGCTTCGCATCTCTTGTGCGTCACTGCCGACGCGTCGTGTTTGACGTGTCACCGTTTACAACCCTGAAACGTTGGCCGAACCCAGAAATGTGAGCCGATGTGCCAAAAAATGATTGGTTGCCAAATGGCGGCCGCAGGATCATGCACGGGAGGACTTTAACAAGATTAACACGTAAAAACAATTATTTTGTTTGCTCGAAATTATAGCAAAGATGTGTCTCAGTTGAAATTTTATTTAATAAATGCACTTCAAAGGTCAAATCGGCTGCATTAGCTGGGGGGGTCGCAGAGAAATGAAGCTGATTTGACGGTTGCTCCAGGCGAGCTGGACGAAGGTGGGAGTGTATGGCAAGCCGATTGTGTCGTTAATAGCCACTTTTACCTATTACAATACACAAAGGCATGCCATACCACTCCAGTGCCATCTAACGGCTGACAATGGTAGTGTTCAATGTTTTCAGTCAGAATTAATGAAAACGGTCATTTCTCAGTCAAAAATGGAGGAAAAAACATAAATAAGTCGCTTCGGTGTATAAGTTGCAGGGCGTGTAAATTATGCAAAAAAACTGCGACTTATAGGCCAAAAAATACGGTAGTAAACTCTGCCTGTGCTTCAATAAAATGATCTCCTCAGTCGTTGCTGTTCGTTTTTTCTCTGCAGAGTTCCACGGGTTAGAGGAATGGATGCTGCTGCGCTCCTTGCAGGCGTTACAATCAGACGGCAAAGCAGAGGTCTTCACCATGGATGACGGAAAAGGCGTCAAGTTCTTCTGAGACGGTGCTGGAATCGCACGCTGACTGGGAGCCCTCATATCCCACCTGACGGACACATTTTAAAGGGTTGGCCCCAGTGGATGCTGGTAATTGAATTGTTGCTGCCTTGTGGGTTCAGAGCCGATTCTTTCTGGAAGAGAACAAAACCTGAGGCGACGCTGTGTTTCTAGTCGGGTTGTCATTTAAACATGCAATGAATATCAGGGGGACTAAATACTATCATTTGAGTCTTATGGGGGTGTTTTCCCCACCAGCTGTAACATAACTCCATTATTTTAAATGCAGCTACTCTTATTTTCTGTTTTCTCTGTTCAATTTACCGTGTGTAAATTAGCTCGGCGGCTGTTCCTCCGTTCCAGCCAGACATCCCAAAGAAATCTCAAAACACAGCGTGAGAGGGGCTGCTTTTTAAATCTTTTATTTTCAGAATGCTTCCAGAAGAGGAACGCTGCAAAGACTCGACTCGGCTCAGAGTAACGGAACTGCACTCCATGTACAGATCGCTGTCGTCCTCTAGTTTCTGTGATGCTCGTCATCTTTGTGCTCTCTTTTTTTCATATCCTGTAGAAAAATAAATTAGACATTTATCAAATTTATGACTTTTTTTTTTTATGTCTCATAGTCGGACTTAGAAACAAAAACAGAGTAAAATGTAAATTTGGATTTGATGGCATCTCCTTTTAACAACGAAGAACTGAGGAGACCAGTTGGAGAAAATGTCCCATTCTTGTCTGATGGAGGATTCAAGCTGTTCAACAGTCCTGGGTCTTTGCTCTTTGTTTCATGATGCGTCACATGTTTTCAGTCAGTGAGAGGTCTGGACTGCAGGACGAGCTGTTCTGTGGGAATGGACCAAGTACGACTTGTTGAAATATTCAAGACCTTCTTTGAAGAAGACTGGAAACCTGTATGCACCGTTCTGCATTGATGGCTTTCCTATAGCAGCCGACGGGGTCAACTGTGGGGACTCGGAATACCAAGTTGTATGGGACCAGGCGTTAATGGGATGCCCCGAACAAATTTGGACAGAAGAAAGAAGTTCTTGCAGGTTTTTTTTTTTGCGTTTTTGGTATTTGCATCATTTTTCTGTTGCATTTGTGTTTTGGAGTTTGCCTCGTTCATGCGCTTACTCTGTGTTTGCACCTGCTGGCCACCGTACTTTCCAGATTTGTACGCCGTCTGTTCCAGAGACACTAATGCGCCCTCATACCATCAACGTGGCAGGTTTTTTAAAACTTTGTATAGGCCTGTCGCGATAAAAAAATTTTGCTGGGCGATTAATTGTCTCAGAAATTATTGCGATAAACAATAATGTTTGAAATTTGATAATAATTAGTAATCATTGTCAAATTTAAGAAGAAATGTTGGTTAATTTTTGTGTGTGGTACCTTTTTTGATCACTGGATGGCAGTATAAGACCGTTTGCACCGAAGGATGGATAGTGAGGGAGCAAGCAGTGTGTATCTTTAAGAAAAATGGGAGGGAGGCCCCTTGACATGACATGGGCTGTCTCTTTTCTTTTTTTTTTTGGTTCTCAAAATGGCAGATGCACGGTTTGTTCTTTAGCATAGCATTTTTCACACAAAGCTTTTAATAAAAATCAGTAAACAAGTTCTCAACTTCTTTTTTCAGAGAAAAACAACTTTTTAGAAGAAGGCACGGTTTCAGCCGTGAATTTTGGAGCTTCGACAAGACGGATCGTTAAAATGGATTTTAGAGAAAAAGGAGAAAGGGAGGGGTCGGTGAAGAGCACCAGAGTTGAGCCTTTTGTCATCCAGTGTCTTCAGTAGAAAGTGAGACACGAAGAAACGATAAAGCCGATAAATGACAATGAGGTCTATTTTCATTCATCATGCGATTAATTGATTTCTTGTTTATCACGACAGGCCTAACTGTTGATAATAGGCAGGGTTGTTCCTCTCTTTTTTTAGTACAGAGGATGTGGCATTTACAAAAGTAATTTTAAATTTAAATTCCTCTGACCACAGAGCATTTCTCCATTCTGTTTTTTTAACGCGGTGGCTCCTGAGGGCCCGAAGATCCACCAATATTCCAATATTGACTTTGAGCTCCGAGATTTCTAATCTTTTGATATTATGAGTTGTAGATGACTGGGAATTCAAAGTGTTCCCAGTTTTCCATTGAGTAACACTGTGCAGAATTTGTTCCACAATTTGAAGACTTTTTTTCACAGACTGGTAAACCTCTGCCCATCTTTACTTCTGTGAGCTTCTCTAAAAGACTCTCCATACCCAGTCCTCTAACCGACTCGTTTCCAATCAACCTAATTAGTTCCACAAAGCTCCTCCAGCTGTTTCTCATTTGTACTATTCTACGTCCATTTGTTGCTCCCGTCCCACCATTTTTGAGTTGTGTTACCATAAAATAAAATAAAAATCTTTGTGTTTACTATGCTCTACTGCGAATAGATTGTATTAGCAAATCGTTACATTCTGAATTCGTTGACATTTTACACAACGTCCCAAACTCTGCAGAGTTGTATGTTGAATGGGTAAAGGAGGCAACAGCTGGATGGCCCGCTCACATCGGGTGCTGTGAGGGTGATACAGCTCCAGGGAATCGGATGTGTGTGTTTACTGATTAAAAAACCCTCCAGTGGGACAGGTGGGGCTCAGTGTGGCCTTGGCTGATAGTAGTGTCCCTTTTCAGACACACTCCGCGGTGTGGCGCCCCCTACTGGCCAGACCCCACCAGGTTCTCCTCTGTGTCTTAACTCCTTCATTCAGGTTTATCAAGCGAGGTCAGACCACAGCTAGGGGTGACATCACTCATCAGATAAACGCTGATTCATAAGAATTTCATCAGTGCGTTGGAAAAGAGAATTTACGCACAAGGCGTGACGCCAAAACGGCTCGTTTTATTCTTTAATCCAGCTTTATTTACCGGTGCAGCGGGGAGACATGACAGATAATAATGTTTAAAGTTGTAAAAGTTTAGGGTTTTACAGCCTCCCTGCCTTCCGGATGGGAGCACTCCCTCTGGATGGACTCGTCTCTCTGCGCGTCGAAGCTGCGCGGGGCGGAGTTGGGAGCGCGCACGGAGAGCGTCCAGGACGCACAACCCACCCGAGCTGTGTTGATATTGGCAGCTCGGTCCTTCCACGGGAGGTTATGTCTTCAAGTCTCTGCGAGGAGGAGAAGCTGGAAGAGGGAACGACGCGATTTAATCGACTTTAAATGAGGATGAGTTCACTTTGCGCGCGGAGACCGGCCGGGGAATGCTCCTGCACACATGAGTAAGCTTTTATTTCTTTATTTTTATAAATTAATTGGTATTTTCTACAGGTTGTGCGATGTTTTAGTCGTTTTGCATATTTAGTGATTGTTTTGTCCTGAAATCGTGTTTGTGTCCTGCTCTTCTCCATGTTTAGGATCTAACTTTGGAAAGCGTTGAACCTGCCACAGTCATGTCTCACGCACAAGTTGAGAGACCAGGACTCGCGTTCCCAGGCCTCTCCGTGGACATGACGGACGACTGCTTGTCCCGGGTCCCCACCGTGCTCAGGACGCAGGGTTTGGGCGCGCGGAGGAACTCGTACGGGCTGCAGAAGATCACCATGGACATGGACTCGCCCCTGTACAGCAGCGTCCTGTCCAAAGCGCTGTCCTGGTCCGCTGAGAACATCCTGACGCTGCGGGAGTCCAGAGCAGAGGAGGAGGAGGAGAAACCCGAAGACACTCCTCCGCCGCCTTCGTCCCCGGCGGCTTCCAGCTCCGGCGGCGCGCCCGCGGGCGGCCACGAGCCGGACGCCGGGTCCGCCGGAGGAAACTGGGCTTCGGGTTCGAGGTCCAACGCGCACGAAGCCAGCTCCGACTCTGACAGCGAGCTCCACAACAAGCGGAGCAAGATCCCGTCACGCATCATCTTTGACACCCAGTGGGAGCAGGAGGAGAAGGAGGACGTGGAGACCAAAGCCGTGGCCACCTCTCCGGATGGAAGGTACCTGAAGTTCAACATCGAGATCGGGAGGGGGTCCTTCAAGACGGTCTACAAAGGACTGGACACGGAGACCACGGTGGAGGTGGCCTGGTGCGAGCTGCAGGTGGGTGCTCGGACCACAAACTGAACGTTTTTACTTTCTGAATGTGTTTAACTCCGCACACCTTCAGCTATTTTAGCCACTTTTGTGCCAAAATGTGCAGCTCATCCAGGAGCCAGGACTTTTGGTTCTTGTAACTTTTATTCTTTTTAAAAACATGATTTAACTTTACATGTTGTATTTATTGTCCCAACGGGATCAGCACAGTTCATTTAAAGCATCTTTAAAATCTGCTTCATGACTCTGTTTTTGTCTTCTGCTACTTTTCACTTTTTGATAGCCTTTTTGACATTTTTAGCTAGCATTTTGCTACTTTCAGCTAGCCTTGTGCCACTTTTAGCTATTTGCCACATTTGGCTTTCCATGTGCCACTTTTAGCTATTTGCCACATTTAGCTAGCCTTGTGCCACTTTTAGCTATTTGCCACATTTGGCTTGCCATGTGCCACTTTTAGCTAGCCTTGTGCCACTTTTAGCTAGCCTTGTGC